GACTAAATGATTGATTTTCCCAAAACGCTATTTCGACAGAGGGGAAAACTGTGGAAAAATTGTGCTAAAGTTGTTCTGGTTGTGTTTCTAGCAACAAAACCAGACCTGGCAACCCTGATGTCACCATTGTTAATAGTAAGATCTATAATATGCATTTAGAAAATAAATATGATTTAATTTCTTTAGGTGCGTCCCAAATCATGTACTTATGCACTATTCTATGACATTTTGTAGTATAAATAGTGCGAGTAGTGTACACTGAAAATTCCAAAAAGAAAAAGTGCACTTTAAATACCCGGATAATGCACTTAAAACAAAGACTATAGAAATACAAAGACGGTTCACTCCTATACTTATGAATGGGAGAAACTGCAACGCGCAATATGGCGAAATAGTCCCGCCTTCTAAATGAAAGAGCCAATCACTGATTGGTAAAGTCATTGCGTCACTGCAGCGGCCTTTAGAAGCTCCAGTTTCCATAGAAACCTGATGCTAGACCAGCCGATGCGCATGCGCAGTCATAAGCGCGTTATAACTGCGCATGCCGAAAAAATAAGCTTTTTTAATGCTATTTGAGCATAAGAAACAACATTCATGGGGCAGTTCATTTCAGATTTTGTTGTGGATTCATTCATTCAGGACTTGGTCTTGTTTGAGCTGCCCGGAGGCATTGCAAATATGGCTGCTGAGTGAACAGACTTTCCTTGAAAGGGACTTTGACTTAAATAACTGAAAAACGAAGTGTGGAATGCTGGACACTTCATGCACTCAACTGTCACAGCTTTAATTACGTAGCGAAGGGGGATGGGCTATGAGACTCCATTATAAATTACAAAAATAACCTTATAAAATTCCTCCACTACATAGTTGAGTACAGTGCATAAGTACATAGTGCATAAGTTCATAGTGTATAGTGTGTCATAAGTACATAGTGCATAAGTACATAATGTATAAGTTCATAGTGTATAGTGTGTCAATTGGGACGCAGCTATGCCGACTTGCTGATTCTGACTCTTTGAACCGATTTTTTAAAACGAAACGTTCGAAAGAACCGATTCGCGCGAACGAGTCGGGCTTTCCATCACTAACGCACGCACGCACGCACGCGCTGCGGATTGAGCTGCTCTTCCCGCTTCGAGCGCCGTTTGGCGGATGACAGTTTGTTTTCACAGAGGGCCTGTCTGAGCAGAAGAACGAACATTTACATCCTCAACTACGGGAACCGAATCGCTTTTCGTCAAGATGAGACCACTTATTCCCAAATGTACGCGTTTGGTGAGAAGTGTGAGGTGACATTTGTGTTTTGTGCTGTTTTTTTGCGTAAACTTACGCAGGGCTAATGCTGCTAGCCGCAGCTGAAGGGTGGCTAATGCTAGCAGAGAGATTTCCTTAGCCAGCTTTCAAGCTGTCCGTATGTGGCGTCAAAATATCACGACACGGCGAATGCGCTCAGAGTATTTTCGTTATTTTTTTCTTTAGTCACCAATATAATGTAAGTCGACATTAATGACAGTTGTGTGGGTTTCTGTGGTTTAATAGCAAGAAATGGTTAGCTAGTTAGCCGTATCAAAACAGACGCTTTACACTCTGAGCCCCCCATACTGTCATTTTAAATCTGCTTCAGAGTGAAGAATAGTCTTTCATTTGAAGAGATTGTCAGTAAAATTTATCTGTTCTCATTCGACTTTATACTTGTGTGTGTAGAAGTGCATCTGTTAGCTATTTAGAAAGCATTCTGTGGGTTTCTTAGCCTTGTTTTAAAGCCAACATCCTAGTCGAGCTGAGTAATAGTCATATTTAGCAAAACCATGAACTTTCAGGTGTTAAAATAGACTTTATGCAACATCCCAGTATTGCACACATCCATGCAATGTTAAAAAAACAAGAGTGGTTTGCTTTTGTCTTGATGGGATTCGTGTGCATTTGGGGATCTGTTTTATAAATATCAGATGCATCATCTCTGCGAGCTGATGTAAGTGTGTTCGAAGCGTGGTAAGAAAGATGTATTTTTTCCTGCAGTCGGATGTAAGATTAGGAGAAAGTTGTGCAGGATGACCCCTGCCTTACAGTGCTGTTCAACATTCTTCGCCCACCACACACATCCAGAATCGCTTCGGTTTTCTGCATATTAAGTATCCTGTTTTATTTCCTGTACTTTGGATGTTTCATTGGAGATGCACTGCTTAATAGCTGATAATTATATTATGGCTGATGATGATCAATATTATAGGCTTGGTTTGTCTTTTGTGTAGGCAGCACCAATCTAGACATGTACTTTTACAGAATGATTGATTGTGGTTTGGTACTTTTGTAATTGAACTGTTCTGATTCCACTTAACAGTTCTTTTAGTGCTTTTTATAAAGAGATCTTTGGGAAAACAAATCTAGTATTTACAGCCTTCTCAGTCAGTTGTCAAATGATGAGATGATTTTGGCACACAGATTTATAATAGAACAGTTGTAATATTTCAGAAATTAATTTTGAGCATAGTCATACAATTGTAACCGTAAACTCAATTTTTGATTTTTGAAAAGAGGGGCAAGTCAAATTTATTTTTTTGTGGTAATCAACATTATGCCACAAAGGCATTGTACTGTAACTAAGGGTGAAACGGTTCGCGGGAAAAAATTGAACCGTACGGTTCTCCACACACTGTTCGGCACGCGCTAGGACTGCGGTTCAACTTAAATCTGACAACGCATCTGTAATATGGTTTGCGATAAATAACACGTAAAACAAACAAGGTTCAGCTAATGTATGTTTCTGTTGATGGATGTGCATTCTGGCTTCCCAGTACTTACAACAACAGCGATGAGAAAAAAAAAAACTGTACGTACCGTATCAGTGCACTGGATCAGTGCATTCTCTTAAAGTGACAGCACTATTAATCAAACGGCAACAACAAAGAATTCACTTATACAGTGAAATATGCAAAGCTGTTTTACATTTCATTACTTCATTCAATTTCTGTACCTAAAAACTAATGTTAGACCTACCTAAAAAAAAAACTGAAAATCACTGTTTATTTTATTTGTATCTTTACTCTATTGTATTTATTTGTGCTGTTGCTTGTAGTTAGATAGATTATTCGTATTTTCTTTATTTTTATTTGACAGTATAGTTTTTCCCTAAACATACCGAAACCGTGACTCTAAAACCGTGATACAAACCAAACCGTGAGTAAGTTGAACCGTTCCACCCCTAACTGTAACCAGAATATTTCTTTAAGTACGTTGTCCTTAAGTTGGCATGGAGTGAAAATTCGCCATCTATTTTAAGTGTATATCATAGATCTAATTGAGAGTCATGCATGCATTTTTGAAGCTTTCCGGTGAAAATGTTAGACTTCTTTCTGGTGATGTATGCAGGATTTGTCTAATCATTTTGCCTAGTCCATTTAAACTCCGCCTTCTCAAGCACATGTTCACATGCAGGCCCGGCGCCAGAGGGGGGGCCCCACGGACATCCCTGTGCCCCCGCTTTGGACGGAGGGAGACAGTCGAACTTGAGTTTAGCGTGTATTATAGTCTTACTCATACAACTGCCTGCTGTTGCTTCTGATGGCTTTTAGATGGAAAAGCTGCCCATAACCCCTGGTCTATTGTAAAATGTAACTATTTTACATTTTGTCATTCGTATGAATTTGTAAGTTTTCGTGAGATCTGCTTACGCCCCATTCAAGGTTAGGTTTAAGTGTTTTTTTTCTCATGAGAGCGGGTTGATTTGAACCCTTTTTCACCCATAATGTATATCGTAGCGTACATGTTTGCTTTCATTAGGGATGGGCGATACCTCTTATTTTATTTTCGATCCGATACCGATATTTTTAAGCCCAGTATCGTCGATATTGATACTGATACCTATAAACTAACACACCCCTAATGTGGCAATGGTTTCTATAGATCTACTTAAACTTCTGATGCTTTTGGGAAACGCAGCCCTATTTGAACCAGCACTCTGAGCCATGCGTCAGCAGCGAACGCTGTCTGTGATTGATTGGTTCTGTCTTTCAGCATTTGCGTGTTCCGATGAGCAGGAGAAATTATTCAATCCTACACAATTATTTGCAAATATAGTCTATTTTTCCACTTAGAAGCTTATTTTATGCACTGAATTTCTTGATAGATAAAATTAATGGTTAAAAAAATGCACTTTAGAATGGATATTTTTATGTGAGGATCGATCCTTTCGATACAACATCAGTATCTAAAGTATCGATACTTATGGATCGATCCGCCCATCCCTAGCTTTCATAGTCTTCAGTTTGCACGTTGTTTGGAGAACAACTTTGGACGTGATGTGCAATAACACATTTTCTTATTTTTAAGAAAATACTGAAAATAAAATGTTTAAACATTTGACTAATCAATAATTTGAAGACATAATCAACAGATTAATCAGTCAAAATCAAAATAATCATTACTTGCAGTTTTAAAATCTAGACCGCAAACTCATAGCTGATGTAGAAAGAACTCTTGAGTAATTACCAAAAAAATATTTGTTTATATTTTGATCATGTTACATTTAATTTAACTGAAAATAAAGAACAAATATCCGCTTTAGATATTAGCTAAAACAGGCATATTGAGAAAAAAGGAAACTGTAACAAATAAAGTAAAGAGTAGAAAGTATTCATGGGGATGTTTACTCATGTACTCCACATGTAAACCTGCTGAGTAGTATGGGGGTTTTACGCAATTTTTGTTTGCATCTGTATATATATATAAAAAAAAATGTTCAGGATCTTGCACCACATGTGGAACAAAATGAGCTTTTTTGACTCATTTGTAGGGATGGGCGATATGGGCTTTAAAATGTATCACGATAATTTCAGATATTTATTGCGATAACGATATCAATGACGATAATTTAGGGAATCCTGTTTCTTTAGAGAAAAGTATTATCTTTCCTATTTTTACCCAAAATAGGGTGTTGTGAGCATTACTGAGTACACACGTAATGTAATGACTGTTTAATTCATACTGGAAGCCGGAGGGCGCCCTTGCGCAGAAACTCCACATATGCATAGTAGAAGTAATGCTCCAGGAAGAAGTATCCAGTGATCGCTGTAGCAGAATAAAACGCAGATAAAGAAATTTTAACTGAGGAAACCTGAAGACAATAAACATGCGATTGCACAAAATATATGGTATCTGTGTTCTTCAAGCAATCTTGGGTATTTTTTTATAAGGATAAAGTATATTTATAATGCAATGCTAATCGACATAGCCTTTATCACTGTATATAATGCTATAAAATAGTATGATTTCTGCCTTATTCTGTGATACGAAACCACGTCTGATCACAAAAATAAGTTATTTCAAACACTCGACTATGTTATGAACTTAATATGGAGAAAAAGCATGTCAATAAATTAAAATATCTTTGTTGGACAACAGGTTTGTAAACGACTCATACACATGTAAAACTGTGTCGCACACGTGCTGCTGTAGTACATTTACTCAAGGCTCAGACCGATTTTTGTCACACTGTACAGCCCTATCCAAATTGTAGGAGGAGCTGCTCAATTTCACGTCCGCCTTCCTTCACATCACTCCACACAGTCGCACACAGAAATATGTCAACAACTAGACTTTATCGATATTATCGTGGGAAGACGAATTCTTATCGTGTGGAGAATTTTTACCGGTATATCGCAAACGATAAGATATCGCCCATCCCTACTCATTTGTGTATGCTTGTGACTGATTTTCAATTGATACGAACTTTTGCAAAGCTGAAATAGTCCCTCACTTAATGCACTTTCATGATCAGTCATTGCTGTCACTTCTGAGTGCTTGTGCCCATCCCTGTTAGAAAGCGACCATTTACATTTTTTTCTTCTGTTTAGTTCTGTGTACATTTAAATATTGATCTACAAATGTTTGTTTTGTTTTACTCTTCCCTCATGGCAGACTTGTTCTGCGAAACCAGTGGCTCACTCAGAAGTGGTATCAAGTGGCTTTTCTGCGAAATATCACAGCTTTGGGATTTATAGGGAGCTTATCTGAAGTCGTGCGGCCTTACCTGCATCTAATTTAAAGGAGTTGTCCCGGTTTAAGAGTGTCAACATCTAAAGTTGACAGTGGAAACATACAGATCCTACAATGAATCAAAGGCATCAAAGTAGCTGACAAAGTGACCTGTTTACAATGCAAACAAAGCATTTTTTTTGACCGCGTATAAAGATGCAGGTCAGCAGAAACTGCAGCAGTTCACTTTTGCACTCTGCTCACCTCAAGATGTAACCAAGATTAGTAGGTGGAAGGTCATGAAACTGAAAGTTATTTTGTCTAAGCTTCAGGTAAACTCATTTACACATTCAGTGGCAGTGGAGGTCAGTTAAATGTTTGACCGATTGCTTGGTCTTAAAAGGATAGTTTACCCAAAATTAGCTGGAAGTGTACTTACACCCAGACCATCCAAGATATAGATGAGTTTTTCTTCATCAAAGCAGATTTGGAGAAATGTAGCATTACATCACTTGCTCACCAGTGGATCCTCTGCAGTGAATGGGTGCCGTCAGAATGAGAGTCCAAACAGCTGATAAAAACATCACAATAATCCACAAGTAATCCACACCACTCCAGTCCATCAATTAATGTTTTGTGAAGTGAAAACTGTCACTTCTGGCCAAAATACCCATAATCTATAGTCCATAATCCATAAATTCATCCCCTGTTGTCCTCAAAATCCACCATCATATTTGTTTATAACAGTTTCCGGCTGTTTTGGCTTGTAAATTGTGCTTAATCTGTGCAGATTTCTTTCCTGATCCACAACTTTTTCACTGGAGAAAACGATATTTTGGATTATGGACTTGTATTTTAGCTGGAAGCAGTGGTTTGAAGTTAAAAATGTCTTAATAAACTTGTTTCTTAAAAACACGCATCTTTTCACTTTTCTCAAGATGTTAATTGATGGACCGGAGTGGTATGGATTACTTGTGGATTATTGTGATGTTTTTATCAGCTGTTTGGACTCTCATTCTGGCGGCACCCATTCACTGCAGAGGATCCACTGGTGAGCAAGTGATGTAATTCTACATTTCTCCAAATCTTTTCGGAAGAAGAAACAAACTCATCTACATCTTAAATGATCTGAGGGTGTGAAGGAAATTTTATTTTTGGGTGAACTGTTCCTTTAATGTGAGGACTTTGATGCACTTGCGGTCTGTCAGTATCTTAACATGAGTCTTCATGTACACGTTCAAGATAGCTTTATTATTATTATTATTGCAGACGAGCTGGACTCTTTGGCCATAAAGGTCTTCTGACCTGTGGGAGGCCTGAGCTTTGAAGAGCACTCCCAAAGATTATTCCCTGCGGCATTAACCTTTCTGCAGCTCTGATCTGGGCTTGGACTAGGCACACGCACGCCGAGCACTTCAACTGCACACACACTTTTGAATTTCACAATACAGGACAGAGGAACACATACTTATGCAAAGATAGCATCTCGCAGAGTGCTGAGGCATTTCTGATTCGGGCTGGTTGTGGTTTTTGTTGGATTACTGGGTGTTGAATGTCATTTGTGATTTAATGAAGCATCTCACAGGTAAAGGTATAAAGCTACTGTTCCTGTAATTGATGGAAACCCAATGCAAAGCTGCTTTGTCTTTTTATGAGCAAGTAAGCAGTTGTGCGGGGCTTTTCAAACTCGGGTCTCAGGGACGCTAACCATTCTGTGAAAAACTGTACTGGAAAAAAGTATTTTAGAAAATGTAGTTTGGGGCTGTCATAGTAAACATGCACTTAAGATATAAATGAAGCGCTAAATGTATTTATTTATTTTTTTACTTTAATATTCAACAAATGTGATATTTCTGTTTAACTCTGCTAACTCATTTAGATTCATTGTTAGATAATTGATAACTTTGATAGTAAAAAAAATCTGCATATAGTGTTGTTAAAAGAAAAAAAGTGTCTCAGATACACTGTTAAATAAGGCTGCAAGTAACGGTTGTGTCAACTGATTTATCTTTTTTATTATTCTTTTTTTATTTATCTAAAGATTACTTTTCTGATGGATCTATTGATTTCTGATTAGTCGATTAATCCTTTGGTTAACTTGTTATATCATTTGACGATGCTCATTTCAGCAAGCCTGGGAGTTTTAGCTGCACTTATTGGGGATAAATGTAAATATGATAAATAATTCAACACAAATTGTCAAATTTACGCAGTCAACATTGACGTGCTGCTTTGGCCATGCTGTCAAACTTAATAAAAAAAGAAAATATTTTCCAGAGAATGTTTAAATGGATAGTACACCTAAAAATAAGCATTTTTTTACTCACCCTGGTGTTGTTCTAATGACCTTCTTTCTTTTTTTTAGACCACAAAATAAGTCCTGCTTGCCCTCGTCCGTATAATGGCAGTAAAGAGCAACCAGCTTCTAATTTTGAATAAAAAGATGCAAACATATCACAGAATTATAGTATACGATCTATAGAAAAAAGTACACATAGGCCTATAGTTTGTTGGGTACAGATATACTCGAAATGATGCACTTGTGTGTGTTTTTCTTGGGTGAGCTGGAGTGAACTTATGCTCATGAGCAGAAAGACCAACGACCAAAGTCAGGATTTTGGATTTTCATATTACATTGCATTTAAATTTTGGTTTATTTTTAAACAAAGCAAAATAGTTTTTGGTTTTAATCATATACCTTCAGAACACTTGGGAGAATATGGCACAAGTCGTAAGGGATCATTCTGTGATTTTTTTTTTTTTTCATCTTTAAAAAAAAATTTTTTTTTAAAGCTTGAAGCCAGTCACTGTACACTGGTATTATATAGACAAGCACTAGCAGAACATTTCTCATTTAGTGTCCTGAAAAAGAATATGCCATTAGAACAACAAATAATGACTTACTTTTCATTTTTGGGTGAACTATCAGTTTGCTATAGCACAATGACAATATAAAAGCCAACTGTATTATTTTGAAATCAGACAGGACCAGCTATGCTTTTGATTTTAAAAAAAAAAAAAACAGCTTGGCTTTTTTCACATCCTCAAAATGGATCTAACGCATTCTTATCAGTGAAACGCTCCCAAGCTTTTCCTAGTGTAAAAGCACCCTGTGTAATTTTTCTTCCAGGGTGGTTAATAAGTTTCCGCAAATCCTCCAGTAAAGGATCATCTGATGCATCGCCGTAAGAGATGCGAGATTTAATTGCACTTAATTGCCTGAAGTGGCTGACCATTTACGGCCTGATGCCGCTTCTTCCTGAAAGCGCTTGTGGTACGAGCATACAGGAAGGAACTGTGTGTCTATTAGTTAGAGGCTCACGCATTTGCGTCACTGAGGGAAGCTTTTACCTTTCTCAAATCTGAACGCAACTTTTGTCTGCAAGTCATTCCCAGCATTATGCGTCCTAACTGAAATCGTTTGCTTTGTTTAACAGCCAAAGGATGTGAATCCCGGCGACCCGTCTGTGCACAACAGCTCTAGCCAAGCCGAGGTGAAAGTGTGCAGTTCGAACAAGCATGAGGCTGCTGGCCTCCTCGCCACACCGACTACAACAAACACGCGTTGTCCCGGTGGAGTTTTAACCCCTGCAGGAGTGCAGACTGCTTGGTCCACCAAGGCTGGTGAAGAAACACAGGTATGTATGAGCACACACAGATATAACTGCCCCTTCCTTTGGTTCGACGCCCTTGAATAGCGAACAAAATACTAGAGCGAGAGAAAGCGAGCGAGAGACTGAGGGGTCCCATGTGCCATTGGGCAGCAGGGCTTTCGCCATGAGCAGTACTCTGGGCAAAGATAAAGACTCTAAGGAGAGGGAACCCAAAGCCGAAGGGAAATCCAAAACCAAAGGGAAAGATGCCAAAGACGGGAAGAAAGACACGAGCGGTGCTTCGCCCGCAGTGGCCTTCACCTTGGACAGCACGATAAAGCGGCCCAACCCGCCGCCTAGCACGCGCAAAAAATCCAGCAACGCGGAGGTCATCAAGGAGCTGAACAAGTGCCGTGAGGAGAACTCAATGCGCCTGGACCTGTCCAAGAGATCCATCCATCTGCTGCCCTCTTCCATCAAGGAGCTGACCCAGCTGACCGAGCTCTACCTGTACAGCAACAAGCTGCAAAGCCTGCCGGCCGAGGTGGGATGCCTGTCAGGGCTGGTGACGCTGGCGCTCAGCGAGAACTCTCTCACCAGCCTGCCCGACTCGCTGGACAACCTGAAGAAGCTGCGTATGCTCGACCTGCGGCACAACAAGCTGCGGGAGATCCCGGCCGTGGTCTACCGCGTCACCTCCCTCACCACGCTCTACCTGCGCTTTAATCGGATCACCACCGTGGAGAAGGACATCAAGAATCTGTCCAAACTCACCATGCTCAGCATCCGAGAGAACAAGATTAAACAGCTGCCCGCAGAGATCGGTGAGTGAGCGAGCTGCTGCTTAAGACTATTCCTTTAAAAAAAGTACATTATGTCTGTGGAAAAACAATTCAAAAACAAAATATTTTTAGTACCGGTCAATATTGGATAACGTATTGTACGCTGTACACCTGTGCGTGCTCATTTTCACTATTTTTACCTTTGGCATCATCTAACGGTCACTTAAAGTTAAACGGACACATTTTTACATATTTAACATTTAACATTTTAATAACAGTTTAATGTAATTTTTAGCAAATCTCAAAATGAATATCCATTTTCATACTGTACATTGTAATATTGTGATGCCTAAATCAGTGGTATTGTAGTATTTTTTTTCTATAATGTTGTATTTATTAACATTTTGAATTAGCTATAAGTTTTAATTTGAACTAGAATTAATTTATGTGCTTTTGCTATTTTTAAACGTTTTTTTTTAAGTCATTTTCAGTCATTTGTTTCATAATTTAATTTTTATTTTGGTTTTATTTATTTAATATTTCTTTAAAAGGAATTTTAATAGGTTTAGTTTTAGTTATTAATTACAGCACTGGCCTAAATTCACTTGTAGCATTTAAAATAATTGATTGCATTTAATATTGTTTTATCTTTGAATAATTTAGACAAAATTGTACGCAATTATAGTTTCATTGTATTATGGGTTATAGGCCGTAACATAAAAATAATTATTGACTTGTCAATATCTTATCAGCTTCCTGCTTCCCATATGTGACCCTGGACCACAAAACCAGTCATAAGGGTCAATGTTTTGTCAAATTTATCATATGAAAGCTGAATAAATAAGCTTTCCATTGATGTATGGTTTGTTAGGATAGGACAATATTTGGCTGAGATACAACTATTTGAAAATCGCCTTTAAAGTTGTCCAAATGAAGTTCTTAGCAATGCATATTACTAATCAAAAATTAAGTTTTAATATATTTACAGTAGGAAATTTACAAAATATCTTCATGGAACATGATCTTTACTAAATATCCTAATGATTTTTGGCATAAAAGAAAAGTCAATAATTTTGACCCATGCAGTGTATTTTTAGCTATTGCTACAAATATACCCCAGCGACTTAAGACTAAGGTTTTGTGGTCCAGGGTCACATATATGGGCTGTTCTGGGATCCCTCAAAATGATTGGCAGGCAAAACAAGCCTCAGAGTCTTCTGATTGGTTAACAAATCTGACCATATCTCATTTATACATGAGTATCATTGCGCAAAATCTCTTGCATCATTTTGCATATGAAAGTTCAGTGTTCAGTTGCGATGATTCTGCCGGCTTGTGTTATAGGTGAGCTCTGTAATTTGATTACGCTGGATGTAGCCCACAACCAGCTGGAGCACCTTCCTAAAGAGATCGGCAATTGCACTCAGATCACCAACCTTGACCTGCAGCACAACGAACTTCTTGACCTACCTGAGACTATAGGTGAGAATCTACTCAAGGTGGAATCTTTATTGTTGGAAGCAAACCATTTTACTATACAGCTCTGCTTTTGGCCATTTGGTGAGAGTTCAGTTGTACTTTATAATTATGTATCAGATCTCATCAGTGGAGAAAGTATGCTTAGATGTCCATGTAAATTAGATTAAATCAACAATTTACACATTTGAATCATAAACTATGTTCATTTACTGTTTCAGGTAACTTGTCAAGTATAAACCGTCTGGGTCTGAGGTACAACCGTCTATCAGCAATCCCTCGATCTTTATCGAAGTGCCGAGAGCTGGAGGAACTCAACCTTGAAAATAACAACATCTCAGTGTTACCAGAGGTGAGCCTTGGTTCAGCTCATTACCGATTCTAATAATTAGCAGTTTTATATCATTTATCCTTGTCCCCTTTTATAAAGTATTATATTGATCCCTGTCTGTTTTTCCTCAGGGTCTTCTCTCCAGTCTGGTGAACCTGACGAGTCTGACGCTGGCGCGAAACTGTTTCCAGTCTTACCCAGCGGGCGGCCCGTCCCAGTTCTCCACCATCTACTCACTCAACATGGAGCACAACCGTATCAACAAGATCCCTTTCGGCATCTTCTCCCGAGCCAAAGTGCTCAGCAAGCTCAATATGAAGGTGAGAGCGCATCTACTCGATCACTGTTGAAGATATGTAGGTAACAAACTTGCCCTGAAGGAGACACATAACTAGAGACCAGAATATGGTAGAGGGTTGATCTGGACCAATAAGCTGCACCCTAGCATCATTGTGGTTAGTATACATGACCAAGCAAAAGAATTGTAAACCATACCATCCTTTTTTGAAACTATGATTATAGGACAACCAGTTAACGTCTCTTCCACTGGATTTTGGGACGTGGACCAGTATGGTAGAGCTGAACCTGGCAACAAACCAGCTTACCAAGATTCCAGAGGATATCTGTGGACTTGTGTCTTTAGAGGTGACATGCTCTTCTGTATTTTACCATCACTCAGTTTCATGATAGCAACCACATTTTTGTCATGTGGTTGGGTCTATATTTTGGCTCATCATTTTTCCTTTGGTTCCTTCAGGTCCTCATATTGTCCAACAATCTTTTGAAGAAGTTGCCTCATGGAATAGGAAATTTAAGGAAACTGCGAGAGCTTGACCTGGAGGAGAACAAACTGGAGTCCCTGCCGAATGAGATTGCCTACCTTAAGGATCTGCAGGTAGGACAATTGTCTACATAGTCAGCTTTTTTTAAGGCAGTGCAGTGGTTTCCTTTGGAGTCTTTTGTTAGCTTATGTTGCTAAGCTAACAAAAAGTGATAGACACATAAACAAAAAAACTTCTGCACACAAAAATGTATTGATATTTTGCAGTACTGTGCAGAGCCTCTAAAGGGGACATGGGGAAAAATTAGGTAGAAGAAGAAATTATTTTTTCTCGCAAAAGTATTGCATTCCCCTCAGAAATTTTGTGTCTGCTCAAAAAAGCATTGAAATATAGTTCTTCCTCCCACCTCGTACTATTTCCATCACGGAAATTTTGTGAGCAAATACAAACTTTCTTGTGGGAACGCAAACGTTTTGTGAGAAAACGCAAAACTTTTATGAGCAAGCACAAAGTTTCTTGGGAAGATGCAAAAGTTTTAAAAGTGAGTGCAAAGTTTCTTGGGGGAATGCAAACGTTATATGAGCAAACTCAGATGCAGAGTTTCTTGGGGGAACTTCTACGTTTTGCAAGAGAACGCACAGAGCGAACAGTTTCTTAGGGCAACAAATGATTCATGTGAGAATGCTAAAGTTTTGAACAAATGCAAACTTTCTTCTTTTTTTTAAGATTTATTTTTGTAATTTTGCCTTTATTAAGATAGACAAAGCGAAGTGGGGGAGATAGAGGGGGGTGGGATCAGGAAAGGTCCTCAAGCTGGGATTCAAACCTGGGATGCCCGCAACGCAACAGCGTTATATGTTGGCGCACTGCCCACTAGGCTGTCGGCGCTGACGAATGCAAACTTTCTTAGGGGAATGCAAAAGTTTTATTTGTGAATGCTAAAATTGTAAAAGTGAACGCAATGTTTCTTTGGGGAAAGCAAAGGTTTTAAGAGTGAATGGAAAGTTTCTTGGGGGAATGCAAACGGTTTGAGCAAACGCAAAGTTTCTTAGGAACGCAAACATTATAAGAGTGAACGCAAGTTTCTTGGGGGGATTGAAAAGTTTTATGTGAGAATGCTAAAGTTGTAAGAGCGAATGGAAAGTTTCTTGGGGGAACAGAAGAGTTTTATGATCGAACAAAAGTTTTAAGATCGAATGCAAAGCTTCTTGGGGGAACGCAAATGTTTTATGTGAGAGCACTAAAGTTGTGTGAGCGAACGCAAACTTTCTTAGAGGAACACAAACATTTTGTAAGAGAATGCAAAAGTTTTAAGAGCGAACGCAAAGTTTCATGGGGAATTGCTTCTATGCGTATTCATTCTCTACCAAAAGTATTGCTAGAGAATGCGAAAGCATTGAAATATAATTTCCCCTATTTCAATACAAATGTTTATAATAAAGGATTATTTTGCTTGTTGCAGTGATTTCTGGGATTGCCCTATCTGTGGGGAAACTGAATAGATGCTTTTATAGTGTTTAGTGTGAAACTCATTTCTCAAATTTATTTGCAGAAACTTGTGTTGACCAATAATCAGCTGACCACTTTGCCGAGAGGAATCGGTCACCTGACCAACCTGACGTACCTGGGCTTGGGAGAGAACCTGCTGCAGCACCTACCTGAGGAGATCGGTATGAGCTCACCGCTGCCCTCAAACGCACACGGCCACACCAATCCATACGCAACTCGCTTACAGCCTTTCTCTCTCCAACCCACAGGTACACTGGAGAACCTGGAGGACCTGTACCTGAATGACAACCCCAACCTGCACAGTCTGCCGTTCGAGCTGGCGCTCTGCAGTAAGCTGTCCATCATGAGCATAGAGAACTGTCCCCTCAGTCACCTCCCGCCGCAGATCGTCGCCGGAGGCCCTTCCTTTATCATCCAGTTCCTCAAGATGCAGGGTCCCTACCGTGCCATGGTCTGAGATGGCTCACACACTGTACAAAGAGGAAACTGAATCGCCACACGACGTTACCTTCGTCGTCATTATATCTCGGACAAGAAACGGCTTAACTGGGTTCCAATCGATGGAGGAATCATAGCCAGTTAGGTCCCCTTTACCCCCGTAGTAAACAATGTGTAGACTTCAGTTGCCAAAATTAATGTACATTAGTGATTCTGAAGAGGCGCTTTTAAAAGGTTTCAGTCATTTTGCCAATTTATTGAAAGTCATTATAGGGGTTTTGACACCAGGAAACAGTTGTATGCAAAAACAAAACATTTTTACAAGTTCATTTTTGCTGCTGCTGCCGCCGCCATACTGTATGCGAGTTTTTTTTTTTTAGCCAGAGATTTTTTTTTTTTTATCATCCCACAACCAAAATAATTTTATTGTACAGAGGACCTGTTTGGAAGCAGTGAACAAATTTTTAGTTCTTTTTTTAATTATTATTATTATTATTAATTGTTGTTCTAGAATTGTGCCAATCCAGTGCAGTTGGGTGGTTTGTGTCTGAACATTATTATCCAAGAAGTTTTTAATACAAAAAGGCTGAATTTACAAAAGTATAATTTATTCCGTAATTCCTTTTCATTGTTGTTGATTATTTTATCGCTCCCTTTTTTAAATATTCATTCCTCTTCGTTATCGGGACATGTTGCTGCGCTTGACATTTTAAAATGAATCCGCAATCTTTTTTTCTGCGAAATAGTGAAGCAACAAATTAATCAAAAATCGTTTCTGATAGCAGTCACGTCATGGGTTTAGCGAGCTAGGTGCGGGTCTGGTTTCGGGGGTCTCTCTTCTGGACGTGGGGTTTGTGATTGTTTACTTGTTTGCCATATCCACAGTGTTGCGCTCTGCTTGTGTCCTATCGGTGAGAGTCGCATCTACATATCAGGTGCTGAACAGTGCTAGCAGTTAAAGGCCCACGTTTACTGTGAGGAATGCCAAACACCCATTCAACATCACTTCCGTCCTTTTTTTTTTTTTACTGTGCATTTCAAGGATTTCCTGGTCGGTGTCATCGGACCGGTTTTAAACCCCATGATTTTTGGTCTTAAATTCACAGAATATTAAACAATGGTTACAGTTTTTTGCACCGTTTGTCCCACATACTTATGCTGCTGCTTTTAATGCACTTTGTATTGATATTTGGCATCCTCCTCAAGTAAAAGGGTCGCGATATTTCATGTTACCGATTAAACGTATGGAAGGGGGCATTTATTATTATTATTATTTCTGAAGTATTTGATCTTTTATTTTAATTCTCTATCATGTATATTTTATAACAGTGAATGAAAAATTTGCCTCAGCAAATTCGAACGATAACATTCTATTAGGAACCTTTTTTTTCAAGGCTTTGACGCTATTTCTCTTAATTAAATGTTTTGATTTAAACTTCTGACTAGTTTGTGTTTCTATATGTTTAAAAATTCAAATGGTGCAGATCAAGTGTTGCAATTAAAAACCCAAATGTTTCCTTTTGATGAACTTTTTTTTATTTCACCTTTTTAAAGAATGGAGCCGTTTCGCGCGAGATGGAATTTCTTTTGGTTTAGTATTATATCGAGTGACCGTAAATTCCCACCTCCACTTTAGTTTATCAAGCCAAATGTATTTTGTTTGTGTTGTGTCCACACGGACACTTTTTCTTTTTCTTTTTCTTTTTTACGTTTCCTCCAGCTTTGATTCGTTAGGACATTGTGTACATCGGCAGCAGTGTAAAGGCTTCGGAGAGGCACTTAGCATTCGTGGGGCCACGAAAAGGACACAAATCGCTGCTTTTTTTATCAACCAGCAGAACCTGTTGCTGCTTATGGACCTCCTAGAAACGTAATGCTGTAAAAGAACCGGCCCGCGTGAGACGTTACAGACTGGCTTCTCGGGCCGGTTCTACCAGCACAGACGTTCTGCTAACAGATGAAATCCCTCTGGACCTGCTCGGTGCATATGTTGCGCCTGATGCAGAAGCTGAATAAAAACAACAAAAAAGACAAAAATACAAACTGTAAAAAGGGCTTTCTCTGTTCATGCTTAACTATACACCAGAGGCATTGCATTCCTGGTTTTGTATAAAAGCTTAGAACTGTACATTTGAGTTTTCTTTTGTGTGTGTGTGTGTGCGTGTGAGGGAATAGTTAGATGTTAACAAAATGGAATTATTATGTGACAATAAATGCCTTGGAGTACTTCAAGTGAGATGTGCATTAGGGATGTGGCTTTGTGACGCGTCCCATTTTTAAGTTAATTTTTTTTATTATTTTCAGCATTTATGTGCCGTTTATGCAGGGGAGGGGGTCTGGTTTTTATGTAGGTTAACAGTATGATCGGTTTTGAATGAGAATGCATCACAAATCAGGAATGTAGTCAAAAAAGACAATAAAATAATTGTACTTTCAATGGTGAATACTGACAGCGCGGTTATAATCAGCCGGGGTGGCCGTTTTAATTTTGATCTTGTATTGTTCTGGTGAATCCTTATGATTGGAGCTTAAGGGTATGGTTTATTTTTTTATATTGTCTGTGCATTAGGTCATAGAAATTGTATAAATGAAGGTCATTTTCCATGTTTTTTTTGTTTTTTTTTAAACATAGGAATGTTATATGTTTCCTGTTTTTTTTTTCTTGCCTTGCTATGTATAGGAAACAAGCATGTTAATTTTCTCTTTTTTTCTTTCTTTTTTTAAGATTCATAATTGTCTGGTTGGGTGGACAGGGATGTAAAAAAGTACACAAGATAAAAATGTTGCTCTTTTGTAATTGCAAAATGTTTTTTTGTTTGTTTGTTTGTTTTGACACTTCATAGGGTATCAAGTGTTGTGCGGACATGTCTAACATACTTTGCTCTAGAAAAACTGCCTTAAAGGTGACTCTTGATTTCTCTTTCTTTCTGACTCAGCCCGATCAAGTAACAGGACCCTCTTCCATCAGATCAAGTCTTTGCTTTGATAAGCATTCTTCAAATAAATGTTCATTTGACTGCCTTACGAATGTCAAATGTGCTCCTCTCTCACCCCTCATAAATTTTCAAATGATCAGTCCAGAGTAATAATCAATCAAATCAATAATACAGTATATATAACTCTTATTTATTTGCCTGTTTATCTATCTATCAGTAAAAAATGTGTACACATCTGAAATCATGATCATAAATCATTTTATCTAAATGCTTAAAATGAGTTTTGTAGAAACTTTTAATATGTAAATTAATTTAAAATGTAGATATTTTTAATTGATGAGTTTTAACTGAAGGAAAAGAAGCCCAAAAGTGTCCAGCATACACGTGAACAACTTGAATATTTATTATGCACATCATGAAGTTGAGAATAGACAAAGTGTGGCTTCTTTGAAGAAGCATGAATATAGAGTTTCACATTTTTGTTTACTACATAATTCCCATCTATCATCTTGGCAACTCTGGCCCTCAAGACCCAATTTCATGCAGAGTTTCACTCCATTCCTGGTCAAACACCTCTTATGAAAATTAACCATTGATTTATTGTAGTAACCAAGGTTTTTTTTTTTTTTTTTTTTTGGGGTTTTTTATTACAATTTGTTTTTGGAAGTTGTATTTTTTAAACAAGCTACTCAGTGTCTTTAAGATTATATTAAAGATATATCTGCAGGAAAGTGGATTTCGAAAATATAAATACTCTCGTGTAAAATATAACTCGTCTACCTTACATTCCCGGTAGATGTCGCTGTTTCATCGCTCCTCGCTGCTGAGTCCTCTGCAGTGTTAACCTTTCTCATTCTTAGCCTGCTACTTGAAAAAACAATTTTGCAGTAATGTTTTCAGATATTGTTAGGGTCCCCACGGTCACGGAAAGCCGGGAAATGTGAGGGAATTGTAAAACGGTTGATTTTAGCCCTGGAGACTTCATGGAAATAAGAGCTCGTGAGTGCAAATCTTTTTAGTCGGGTTTAATCAGCTCTAAAACATTTAAACGACTACATATTCCTTACATGTGTTTGAAATTCACCTCAGAGTACATAAAATGGCCTTCATTTATAACGTGATAACGAACTACTGGTGTATTCAGTTTTAAAAATAAGTCTAGTGTTAGTATGCTGTGTCTCAAGTCGATGATTATTTATCAGCGATAAACAATCACTTAGTGTATTCTCTCTTGTTCAGGTAAACACTAAAACAAGTAGTTTCATTGGTTTAAACCAGGTAGGCACGTATAAAAAGTGTTTTAAGTGCTTTCCGGACATGATTTTGGCGTTTCCACTGCGCCTCTCTTGGCGGCTGCTAAGCAACGTCAATCGGGGGGCTGACGTTTCGAGAAAGTGGGCGTGGTTTGCGTAATTTAGACCGCGAGCGCGCGCGCGCGCACTCACGCTCTCCTCAGTGCGCGTCTCTCTCGCCCGCGCGCGCAGCGCGCGCACGCGTAACATGATTACGCCTCTATTAACTCTGCGCGCGCACAGCTGAGCGGAGCGCCGGCGACGAAGCGCGGTCTTCACACGCGCAGCTGAGGAGATGCGAGGCGTTACTGGTGCGGGTTTTCTCACGCCGAGCCACTTTAAAAACAGAAGTCACACTCTGAGGAACGCTTCTTGGATGGTTTAATAAGTTTAGCTTTTTTCACTAAGGTAAGCTCCATTTCTGTCTTACCTTTTTGCTGTTAGTATAGTATTGTGGTATTTTTGAACAAAGTATGAGAAAGAAATTGACTATATGTGACCCTGGACCACAAAACCAGTCATAAGGGTCATTTTTGTTTAAATTGAGGTTTGTTAGGATAATATTTGGCTGAGATACAACTATTTGAAAATCTGGAATCTGAGGGTGCAAAAAAACAAACATCAAAATATTGAGAAAATCACCTTTAAAGTTGTCCAAATTAAATTTTTAGTAATGCATGTTACTAATCAAAAATTAAGTTTTTGATATATTTACGGTAGGAAATGTACAAAATATCTTAACGGAACATGATCTTTACTTAATATCCTAATGATTTTTGGCATAAAAGAAAAATCGATAATTTTGACCCATGCAATGTATTATTGGCTATTGCTACAAATATACTCATGCTACTTATGACTGGTTTTGTGCTCCAGGGTCACATATTTTTTGATATTATGACTTACGTTTGCATCTAAATATGATGTATTTATTTTAAATACATTTTGACTTATTTCTTTAAATAATAATTTTCCTCCTTATTTTTTTAGATGCCAAAATGACCAAAAATTTCACTTTTGTCTTCAGTAATATGGAACAAATGAACTGCCATCAGCCGAAAACATAATTTCCGTTGTGAGAGGAAGAGATTGTGATTCTCAACAATGGGGTGTGACAATTCGACCAATGGGACAGGTACGCCATACACCCTGCTGTTGGCCCTTCCTATGAGCGTCCTGGTGGGGTTTCTCATCCTCCTCATTGTCTTTGGCAATGTGCTGGTGATAATCGCAGTGTTTACGAGCCGAGCTCTCCGGGCTCCCCAGAACCTGTTCCTGGTGTCTCTGGCCTCCGCTGATATATTGGTGGCCACTCTGGTGATGCCGTTCTCGTTGGCAAATGAGCTGATGGGCTGCTGGGCCTTTGGGCAGGTTTGGTGTGAAATCTACTTGGCCTTGGACGTTCTCTTCTGCACGGCCTCGATCACTCATCTGTGCGCCATCAGTCTGGACAGATACTGGTCGATCACGCAAGCCATCGAGTACAACCTCAAGCGCACACCGCAACGAATCAAGTGCATTATTTTTATAGTTTGGATCATCGCCGCCGTGATCTCCTTCCCGCCTCTGATTACCATGAAGAAGGAAGAGGGCAACACCTGCAAAATCAACGAAGAAAAATGGTACATCATTTCCTCTTCCATTGGCTCATTTTTCCTGCCTTGCATCATCATGGTCCTCGTGTACGTCCGAATTTACCAGATTGCCAAGAAGAGAACCAGAGCGCCACCTGGGGACCGGATGATAAAGGAAGCGGGCAAGAAGGAGAACGATCTGGAGAGGGATCCCCATGAGAAGCTCAATGGGAATCCAAACCCTAAACTGGACGACAAAGGTGAGATAAATGGCATGGACTTGGAGGAATCGTCCTCCTCGGACCACAATGTCTCCAACCCTTGCTCCCTCAAGAAGAAGAGCTCAAAAGGAAAGACTAAGCGGAGCCAAATCAAACCGGGGGACGGCGACAAGCGCGAGGTCCTTCAGACCACCAAGACCAGCAGGTGGAAGGGCCGCCAAAACCGGGAAAAGCGCTTCACGTTCGTCTTAGCGGTGGTCATAGGCGTGTTCGTCATCTGCTGGTTCCCGTTTTTCTTCACCTACACATTGACGGCGTTTTGCGAAAGATGCGTGCCAGAAACGCTTTTCAAGTTTTTCTTCTGGTTCGGCTACTGCAACAGCTCCCTCAATCCCATTATATACACCATCTTCAATAATGACTTCCGAAGATCCTTCAAGAAGATCCTCTGCCGGAGAGATAACAGGAGAGTGGTGTGAATTGGGTTACTGTTTTTTTTTCCCTTTCCTTTATCCAATGTAATATATCACCTGGCGTTTATGGGAAGTCCCTGTGTACAGTAAGCCAACATGTTGTGTGTCATTATACAACAAGTCCGAAGAGGGAAAAAAAGACACTTACATGCTTTGTACAAATGCAACAATGCATGGTTATGCAAATACAGCACAATGCATATTGACCCATTTCTGAAGTGTATTGTTGTATCGTTCTTGATATACAGTGAGTGGTGTAGTTTCATAACTCTGGTATTTTACCATCTGGAGGGACGTATTCGAAGACAATGCATCATTCTCAAACCACGCTGGATGTTGTTCAAAATGTGAAAAACAATTCAAAAAGGACTACAAAATTGGCCTTCAAACTTCATAATGTGCTGCAAAACTGTCAAACTACGCCGCAACATGCATGTCGATGTGTTCTCGCAGGGCTTATTTATTTCACTGACATATTGTATAATTAATTGTGAAGGTGTTGATAGTGGTCGGTGGACTAATTGTCTTTTTTATCCCTGCCAGTAACGGTTCGTTTAAAATCTTGCTGTGGACCATTAGGCAAAAAGATGTTGAGCTCGTCTGACTGGAACCTGACAGGCCGGTGTCACAACAAATTTCTCCGGCTTCTGATGTAGTTTATATCTGTCACCATGGGCGACATTGGGGGGGGAGCCCTGCAATTGGAGCGTTGAGCAGTGTAACCAATCACAGACATAATATCTGTTGATTTCTTGAACTCAGTGGCCAATCAGAAACATTTTGTCAGAATTCACTCACTGCTGAAAGCGCCGCAGTTTTTAAGTGCAGTTTTGCAGGCTCGTGAATCATCTCATGACTAAGTGCAGACGCGATGTAAATAAGAGATTCATTGTGCAGTTTAGAGAGCTTCATTGATTATAACGGAACTTTGTAAGATCGCGATGAACGAAGATGAGTGACGCTTTTAGTGATAAAGGGAACACTTTCTAGGGTATAATCAATTCAGAATTAGAATGAAACTTTCGTTTTTCGGACACATAGGCTACACCCTGCAAAGTTTTCGGGAATGACATCCGCATATTTATGCGGGATTCCCTCTCGAAATAGCAGTGATTGGCAATGGACGGAACATAAAATATGTTGATTTAATTCTGGAACCGGTCCTGGCCAAACCTCCACAGACAGCGCGTCCCGAGCGAGATCTAGGCTAATTCATGGACCAAAAGTGTGTGTCGGGACATATCAACCAGTAATTTCATTTAATTTCCAGTAACAGACAGTAGAAAGTTCAGCAATGAATAGTATGCGATTTATGACAGAATATAGTCCCACAACTGATCGTAAATTTTTTCCTCACGTGTCTCGCCTTTGGTAACGATTCAAAATGGAAACATTTCAAGTGACACGGGAAAAAGACACGGACAACTTCAGTGAACCTCAGAAAAGCAGCGTGCATATTTCTGGTTAAAAATGAAAGGCCATCGACTGACAAACGGGAAGCATCACCATTCAAGTCAGCAGGAAGAGCCAAAGCTAGTCCACAGTTTACTAAACGGTGGCAACCTCTTTAAGTTATTCTTGACTGTGTTGGATTGACTGCTTTGCAGTCGCAAATACGGTAGGGCATTGTTTTGATGCTTACATCAGAAAAAACAACTTTTGCTTTTATTTATTTATTTCATATATATACATATATATTTTTTTTCCCCTTGCCCCCCGACTCAAGAGTCAAATGTCGCCCATGTCTGTCACCATAGATATAATGGATGGATCTTTAGTACCACAACACAAGGGATAGTTACAGTCCATGACTAATAAACTGTGTGTCAAACAGGCTACTGGTTTAGCTGGAGAATTTGTAGAAATGCACAACAAAAGAGAGCTGAATATTCAGCAAGATATCAACAGAGTTTCTCCAGCTCAAGGTGAGGTCAGGCCTCTCGCCGTGCTGGTTTTTTTTCCCCCCTCGGGATGTGTGGAGTGACCTGAGATATCCAGTTGTAGAGAGCTGGAGCGAATGTCCAGTCCAATTGCTAAAATGGTTTCAAACAAAGGTCTTGAATGACATCTACAAACTACCTGTCACTGTGCGTTATTGCCATATCTGAAAAACCTAATCGTGATGTATGACTCATTTCGATATATTGGCTGTTTTCTGGTTGTGCTCTCAACGTGTTTAACCACTGAGGTCTGAAAAGAATTGTGTTTGCACACACAAAGAGAGAAAACACTCAAAAAAAATAAAGAGTGCAGAGCCTTTTTTGTCTGTTATCATTCTGGAAAGGCAACTGAATAATTTGCGTATGAAAAGCAAAGCTTCACTTACAGGATCAGACTCTGAAAGAGTTGAAAGTGTCTTCACAGAAGCAAAAATAGTGTTTACAGCAATGTTTTTAAAAATGGAAAGAAAATATTGACTGTGATAAACATCAAAATACACCCAGTTTCAAAAGTATAACCACAAAACTAAGTAGTTTTATGTAGACAGATCGCTAACTGACAGCACCAACTGACACAAAAGGCCCGGCCACTTAGACAAGAACAGCGATTGACTTGCAAATTGACCAGCCACAGCTCATTTTGTTTGTCCATATGCGTTTATCTGATAATATTCCTTTAACTTTCTTATTTTGCACGTTAGACCTTTTCTGATAATCACATGTAATTGCTCAAATCCCTCAACTTTCGCATAGGTAGGCTAATGAACAAACGGCAACGGTTGCTGTTATCTGTCAGCGATTATCTCGTCAATTTCAATTATTTTGCCCGTCTCCCAGTTCAGTTTGACTTTAATGTCTCAGTTAACCGTTCCCCTCAGAAATCCGCCTGTTTGCTCTGCGTGTGATTTACGCATTTCGTTTTTCCACCCCGAGTTCAAATTCAGGAATAGCATTTTACAAATAGCGTAAAACACTGCCTGCGGTGAAGTTCCCCAGTGGCAGCAATACATGTATATGCTGGAGAGAATGTACCGAGACCTTCACAATTATGATGGATCATGATAATTTTATCTCATATATAATCATCATTAAATCGTCAAGACAGCGGGGTGATAATTACGAAGTTTAAAATAAGGTTTTTATTACACGGACCTGTAGCGCCGGTTTCCGTACCCTTTTATGAACTGGCATAAAAGCATTAAAAGGCAACTTTAAAGACACGGCAGCGCATTAGCTCCCACAGCGACAGAGCTGCGCTGGAGATGTATGACATGATATGAGCTGGCGGGAGGGGTGTGTGGGTCCTGCTGGCCGTCCTGAAGTGTGTGTGAGTGGGAGACCGCAGAGATGGACATTCAGTGGGAGAGTGCAGCAGGGGGTTGTATTGATGAGCTTCACTTCAAAAGTGTGAATGAGAGGGAAGAGGGTGTTTTGGTCAACTTCGTGAGAAAAAAATAAAAATCTTGTTAGGTAATTACATCAGCGCAGGTGAGGGCTGTGAGCACAACTGCTGCCAGCCAGGTTTTTCAATAGTTTGTCAAAGACAGGACTGCGAATCAGTTCATAAATCAATAAATATAAATAATAATACATTATTATTATTATTACTATCATAATCAGGGAAGGTTATGCTTTATGCCACTCTTTAATGAACAGGCCATCCTAGTAAATAAATCTGGACAAAACAGTGCTTATGTCTATTACTTTTGTAACAAAATGTCTGATAAAAGTCTACACGTTTTATGATAATTTCCATGGTGTTTATTTAGAAAAAAAAAGAAAGAAAGAAAAATCACAATAATTATTATATTTACAAAAAAATCATAAATCATAATAATTACAATTATATCAACATTAAATAATAATGATGATGATGATGACGACGAATATTATTATTAAATAAAATACCTTATTTACAACACCAATAATAATAATTAATAATAATAATACATTGTACAATTTTATACAACAACAGTGATGATGATGATGATAATAATTATAATAATACATTATCATCCTCACCATCAGGGATGGATATGAAAAAAGTTATGCCTTAATAAACTGAAATTATTGAAATTGCTTTTTTTTTTTTTTAATCACAATAATTATTATTATATCCATTTTTTAAATATAAATTATAATGTATAATAATCAAAATAATAGTCATCATTATTAAGAATAATGATTACAATTACATTAAAAATAATTAACATGAAGATGATGATAATAATAATAATAATAAAAGTCCACATTTTCTATGCTAATTTCCTTGGTTTGTTAAAAAAATATCACAATAATAATGATTAAATATCAATTTTCATATTTAAGAATACATCATTATTATAATAATAATTATTATTATTATTAAAATAATCATAATTGTATTTAAAATGATTAAACTTAAGATAATAAAAATAATAGTATAAGTAGTATTGTTAATTATCTAACAGGTATACGTGTGGTATTATTATATTTTCTTTATATATTTATTTATTAAGTTTGAATTCTCTATTATGGGTTTGAAATGGGCTTACATAATTAAAGGAATGTTCTGAGTAATCTCTATCGACAGCATTTGATTACCATTGTGTGTGACAACAAACACAAATCTCATCTAGAGTAATGGATTTAGAAATGGAAGTCTATGTGGAATTATAACAGCAACTGGGGGCCTTCAAAGAAGCTGGAGCCCCGGGGCTCCCAGGACCATAATCCAAGCTTAAACAGGATGCAGGCTAGACAAAACGAGTGAGAAAATGAGGGTTTTGAGAGCTGGCATATGTTGCAATGCATGATAAACTTTATTTGTAACGAACGCTACCTCGTCGCAGCAGATGACTGCACTGAATGACAGAACCAACAGCCAAAATGCTTGGTCTCCAGATGCCGTCTCATTTGAAACTTTTAGATTTGGCTCGCGGCTATCGGCGTGCGTATGTGCAACAGATCCGTGTTTGTGCCGCTTTTAAACAATGCCAATGAATTCAAAAAGTTGAGAAGCCTCAAAGGTCAAGCTTAGAGAGAGGCTGAGCGCTTTCAGAAGAGACCCCACTGCGCGTTTTTTCATGCAGTGCTGTTAATCAATAGCAGTTTCTCTCTCTGTTTTTTTTTTTTACAGCAGGCAAACAAAGAG